GGGGGCTAGCATCGTCCAATCTATCGTCCTTTTTGTTTTTCCTATACTCACTGTGCTACACCTTGAGAACATAGCTAGATGCTAGATATACATCTAGAAAGATCGAACCTGTCGAAAAGAACCACTTCAATGAACAAGGCAGCAGTACATTTTATATTCTAGCAACAACATTTAGGAAATCTACCCTTGAAAGATACAAGAAGAGGTATCTGGATTGTAATGTTCAGTTAGTAAGAAGTGTGACACCATCGATATAGATCTAGATCTATTCTATATATATTCCATTGCAGTCTTTTATTAACGGTAAGCTAACACGTACTCTGGTGAAATAAAGTGATTGATTCTAACCTTCAATCAAGACTAAAAACTTGCGATTCGATCAAGAACAAAATGGCTCCATGGAGTCCAAGAAACCACAATATGGAGATTCAAAGGACAACACGCGGACCAAAGTTGTACAATTATTGCATCTCCCGCACACACTTGGCGGCATCAGACGAGTGAAGCTAGATCGAAAAATAACGTAAGATCCTGCTCTGACTTGACTCTCTACAGACAAAGATCGTATGTAGGATCATTGCTACAGCCTAGCAGCAGACTGTGTGTTCAGGAGACTTGGTCTAGTCATGTGCTGTGTTCTATATGCGGGAAAACCCTTTGTGAGCGGTGTGAAATTCACAAGATTGTTGTTGGAAGGTTTTACGGCGCCCAAGAAATAGCAGTTCACAAGAGAGTGACAAACACACAAAAGAAGTAGATGAAAAATGACGATAGTGAGGATGAGGGGAAAAAAGCAGCAGTTCCCCCTATGTTGTTCCGGCACAGTATGAGCCTATATGGCATCCTTCAGTCTCAGGAGACTATGGATCAGCGGGGTGCATAAAGCCACGGGGACAGCCAAGGACCTACTGTAGAACTTCCTTGGTCGAGCCTTTGTTCCTGTATAGCAAGGGTGCGTCTTAGGCTGCGCATATGGAATGTGTTGAGCCCAAGGACCTACTGTAGAACTTCCTTGGTTGTTGTTCCTGTCTGCTGTAGAGGGCCCAGTGTCTCGCTTCCCTACAGCAAGGTGTTGAGAACACACAGACCCTGTAGACGGCTACCTTAGTCCGGATCCTCAGCTTGGTGTTTTCCCAGTGTGAGCATGACATTGATAAACCGGCCAATTTACAATTCTCCTGTGCATAGGAACATGTCCTTTGGGAATGGCATGAAGTCAACTTCATTCAGTAGCGCTGCCCTGGTTGGAGGGGGGGGGGGGGTCACAAGATTTGTAACAGCTCCCAATCTTACATATATTATTATGAAAATATCACATTCTTTTTTGTCATTTTTACGTAACACGACACTGCCCGATGACTTTTTGCCAATCTTACACGATATGAAACTATTCCAATCTTTCTTTACCAATCTTACGGACAGAGAGCGACAGACGGCGACAGAGAGAGAGAGAGAGAGAGAGAGAGAGAGAGAGAGAGAGAGAGAGAGAGAGGGGGGAGGGGAGAGGGGGCATATACAATACAAGGTATGTTAGTGTAGTTTTCTTTTCGTTTTCTTTTTTTAAAGAAAACCAAATACATGTATCAAATTAAAATAATTAATTAATAAACAATTTTTAAAAGTAAGCCGCAATAGACTGCGAAGGGAAATTGCGATGGGTTGATCGTCTGGCCGTTTGTTTACGTGACTTGTTTCCCTTGCGGAAACAGCTGCTGGTGTTGACGGAAATAGCTGCTTGTTGTGACTGGGGCCTTCTTATCGATCATCTGATCACTTTTCACTTTTCCTGAGCGACATTTTCATGGGCGCGCAACTGATTGCTCTGTCTGTTCAGTGCCTTTTTCATGGTTATATTTGTGAGAAAAATGTCTGTGAGTTGTAGATGTAGTGAGTGAGGAACGAGAAGGACGCGCAGTTAGATCTAGTGGTGACGACAGACCTGCCCTGCCCGTCGTCTGCAGTCTTACAACTTACGTGGTGTGACGTTGTCATGTTTTACATTGTTGTTGTGATTTGCTGAAGTTGCCTGCTACCACCAAATCGGAGCGGATAGAAGTTTCATTTTCAAAAATCAATCCTGCAAGATGTGGGTTAAGCCACAGGAGGTCTTGCTGGCAAATGCCTTATGGTAGGTTTACAGTACAGGGTTGGAAGCAGTTTTTATTTTAAAAGTTTAAAGTTTAAGGTAAAAGATCAAAATACTCATTTAGGAATAGGTCATCATCATACTCTTGAAGACTGATTTATTGTAGTCATAAAAGGGCAAGCCATATTTGATTAAAATGTTAAATTGTATTTTATAGGCTATATGTCAATTGTCATGGGCATTTTCATCATGTGTGCCTCATGATTTATAAAAATCATGATATCAAAGTAACTGCTTAGTGACTTAGTCAAACTCCGCTATTCCTATACACGCCCACATCATTTTGAAAAGTGGCATGTGATGGTCTTACGCTAAGCTGTGGGTATATTTAGTGAATCAGAGAGAATTGAAGTAAAATATACCAAACTCAGTGTATACTGGAACGAATGACTAAAATCGGACTCGAGTCCAAATAGAGAAAATTATATTCAGACTCTGAATTGAGTCCAGCATGAAGTCTGTTCCGACTTCCGACCCTTGTTCCAAAATATTTCCAGCATTTACAAACATTTTTTCAATTATAATGATAATGGAGACATTTAGGGATACTCATTTTGACCCCACCAACGATTACTTCTGGTTGTAAACGATTACTTTTTGATGCCCGTTCCGATAGGCCTATGGAGAGATAGCCAATCAAACCTAATTGCAAAACTGCCAAAACATCAAATTATGGTCGAATTCAAGGGGGCAAACCCCCCTGAAACCGCCCTTGCCTTGTATACAAGTTAAATTTTACTGCTCATTTTGTAGGCTGGATCTAGATCTAGATCTACTGATAAAATATCGATACTGGATATTTAAATCTGTATCGATATATATCTCTAGTACAGTAGTCTTTGCTTGTGTGATTTAGTGCTGGATCTATCGGGCCCGTCATTGTACAGGAGTGCGCGAAAAGCAGATTGTCATAGAAGTTGACAGATTTTATATATGGGAGTGTATACAGACCCGGTAACCGGGAACAAAGTCACAAAGTATACAGATCCGGTAGAGGAACTCTTTTGTGATTTCGG